GCCTGGCTCTGCCTCCCGAGTGCTGGGATTAAAGGCGTGAGCCACCACCGCCGGCTAATGGGAGTCTTTTGAAGGTGTCTGACATCTGAAATATTTATCCTTCAAATCATTGGTTAATTCCTGACTCAGCCTTATCTTAGACCAGATGGAACCAAACCGCAGGCCAGCCAGACTCGTAGATCAGCCACACTTGGGAGAGAGAGAGGCTCTGTTCTAAGACGCAGGCGTACAGCTTACTGGAAAGACAGTATTAGGTCTTCTGACTGGAGCTGTCCCTACCTGTCCCCGTAAACCTGTGGAAGGTGCGAGCCTTTCTTTCCCAGTGTCACCCGCACAATTTGTCCTCAAAGGTCTGGGCCTTGCTGTCCCCATGCTGTGGCCATCTGTCTTGGGTACTCTGATAGAAGGTCTGGGCATGTGCTGGGCTTGATGAATCCACAGGGAGCCCACGGTCTCTTCTGTCAGGGAAGGACTTCACAGACTGGAGAAGTAGACCACCAGACAGGGTGCCATGCCCAAAGATCTCAGGGACTGATAGCTGATTCTTACCCTGGACTGTAGGGAGTAAATGACAGACTTGCTTTGTGAGGTTCTGGGTCAGTCAGAAAAGAAAAAAACAAAACAAAACAAAAACAAAAACAAAACAAAAAAACCCCTCCGGGATGGAAGTTACAGCTCAAGCAGGAAAAAGTTTCAAGTTAGGTCAGTCCTGTGTCAAGCCCCCAGCTTCCGTGACAGCGTCTGACATTAAACAGTAGCTATTGAATAGATAACTGTTGACTTAAATATAATCGGTTGAAAAGGAGTGTCAATCCCTTAATAGTTTCTGATTTGCTATTTTAGGAAACTGCAAGGTACTTTGGCATCCTCCTCCTTTTAAAAAGCACTTTTAAGCCGGGTGTGCTGGCACACACCTTTAATCCCGGGACTCAGGAAGCAGAGGCAGGTGGATATTTGTGAGTTTGAGGCCAGCCTGGTCTACAGAGTGAGATCCAGGACAGCCAGGGCTACACAGAGAAACCCTATCTCAAAAACCCCAAAACCAAACCAAACCAAACCCAAACCAACCAAACAAAAGCCCACAGCAGGCTTTGTTTTAGAGGAGAGTTCGGAAACTGAGTAGAAGGGCAGGGACCCCAAGTCCACCATTTTGGTGGGTTCAGGGGCTCCCTAAATCCTCCCTACAATCTAGGTTAAGAACCAATTCTCACAATACTATCTGGAAGGGTCCGCCAAGATGCCAGTGGCATGGTGCTTCTTAAAAAACGTGCTGCAGGATCTTTCTGGAGTAAGTGCTCCAGCACCAGAGGGAAGGGAGGAGAGGTATTCACACCCTGCTACCTCCCCGTCCCCCAAGCCAGGAAAGCTTCTTCAAAGGCCTTTGTCCTGGGTCCCTCTGCAGTTTTGAAGTAGGATAAGGTAGACAATACCAGTCATTAGCTACTGATTCGTTGGTTTGTTGGTCATTTATTTAAAGCACTGCTTGGACTGCCTATTTGCCAAGCCTGACTTCACTTGTTCCTGGAACAGGAAGATGGGAAGGAATAGCTGAAACAAGGGGCCATTGCCCTTAACAATATGCTGACGGCCACTACGGTCTACAAACCTTGCCTGCTTCACCTTGTGCTTTTAGAACATAAAGTAAGAATACAAACTCGAGCAGGCATTGGAGCCTTTCCGGGGCGAGCCTACCACTTCCACTCCTCTCATTGGTGTCCGAGTGCTAATTCCAGAATGATTCCTGTAACATCCTCATTTCATGCCTTCAACCCACAAGGGGGTAGGGAGTGGACAAACAAGCGAGATTGCCCGGGTTGTTCACGGCAACCAGCAGGTTGTTTTTCAAAGCATGTGTTAAAGTTGACAGGTGTGAACTTTCTTGGCCAGGTTGTTAGGGCAATGGCCCATTGTTTCAGCTATTTCTCCAGGTCACTCTGTTCCAGGTAGCAAGTGAAGCCATGCTTAGAAGTAAGTAGTACAGTATTCACAGTGTGTTAAGGAAATCACTAAATGAACCAATAAATCAGGATGTAATAACTGGTTACTTCTACTTCATACTGTTTTCTACTTAGTGGCATGTACTGTTCAGAACATCTACTACTTACAAATAAGTAAAACCAACAAATAGGAACTGCAATTATCCAAACCCTAAATCTCTAATGAATCTTAGGCATCTTGATCCCATTGAGAAAAACAGGACTGAAAAAGTGGATGTTTCCAATTACTAGTAAGTAAAGAAGCCAAGGCCTACGGAGGCCCAGTGGTATCCAGTGTGGGGCAGGAAAGAGAACAGGACGAGAGCTCAGGCCCTCCTCACTTTCCAGCCTCTTTTCTCTTCCCACCATGAGCCTCTTATCACTCTCCTGTGTCTGAGCCAGCAGGATGGAGTGTCTGAGGCACCTGTGGCCTTGCAGCTTGGACACCGCCTTTCACTGGCTTGGTTTTTGTTTTGGTTTATGGACTTCAGAAGTGGAGGGAGCCAGTAGTTCAGACAGCATCCACATTCCTTTGTTGTACTGGAAATGAACATTGGGCTGTGACTGAAACACAGCGAACCTGTCTCCAGCATCAGGGCACACTGAAAGTCTGTTGCTGGGCGGTTCCTCTCTCTACCCTTCACAAAGGCTGCGGGCAAGTCTACAACATTTCTGCCACGTGGGATATTTTTTTGGGAATATCTAGGTCAGACTACAAAGTCCTCCAAGGACGCTTCCTCTAGGCTGGCTCTGGCTTGCTTGGAGGCGGGTGGAAGGAGTGCCACACTGCCCAGGAGCTCTTGCCCAGGATCCACTCCATCTACATGCTAATGTGACCTGTCGGGCAGTGTGTGCGTGCGTGC